TCTTTGAGTCAAAGGTTTTTGTTTAGGATTTCTATCACGTGGCCATATTGCTGGAAGACATTTTTCCACAAAAAGCGTTTTCTTTTTTGGCTCATATTCATAAAATATGGCCAAATGTAAATGGAAATATTTCCGTCTCAAATAGAAAAAAAGGGAGCATTTCCAATTTATCCTTGTTCGCTTGGTCACTTGGTTATGGATAAAATATGCAGATTAGTAGTTTGCCGAAAAAATGGTGGATATATTTATGACTTTTGTCTCCCGTGGGGGAGTTGCTGAACAAGTTATGAATAATTTTTGCCATCAAAAATTTCCACAACGAGGTTTCGAAAAAAAAAAATTTAATAATAATTGTAATAAGGAAGGCGTTTTACTCAGTGGAAATCAATTTAAGCTATAGTTCCCATGGAAAATTTGTAAAACAGTAGCGGATATAAAAGAAGTCCAAAGAGTTTTCAAACTTATGGTTCTAAGAAGGTTTTTCTAATCTCATATCCCTTTTACATGAAATTCCCAAAAGCATACTTTATTAATAAGTGTTTACAAAAGCAGGACAATAAAGTTCATGTATTAATTGTCAAAATGCCGACAATTGCAAATCCTCAATGAAATTACTATATTTTTGTTCTTTTTCCTCTCCCTTGTTCATTGTTTCTTTTTTTTTCATTTCTTCGTGATGTCAAAAATTATTAGCATTTACCATGGCAGAAGAATACAGGTAGATGCATCAACGCTTGTGAGCATTGATATGTCAAAAAATTTTAAATGTTTTTCAAATATAAGTAGATTTTTATATGTTTTCTTATACGACGTCATTCGGAGGTTATTATAATTCGCGTTTTTAACAATTTTTACAAATTTTAATAATTTTTCATTCAACATTTTCAATTCCAAAATTGGTTTGACAGTTCATTGTCCCAGCAGCTGTGTCGATGCGTCTACCTATATTCTTCTACCATGGCATTTACTGTCATTTAAATACAACTAAAATACAACTCTGATGCAAGAAAATTAGTATAGTGTAAACGTCAGGTTATTCCTGATATTTTTATATTGATTTGGGGTGTTTCGTAGTTTACTCCAATGAACTAGTTCAATTAAAATATTCATTGAAAGGCCAATACAACTAAGCCAATTAAAAATCGTTCCTATCTATTATTAAAAATTGATAAAGAAAACCATTTAGAAACCCATTCAATGGTTTCCAGCTTTTAATCATTCCCTGAAAATTAGTTGCACCGTATTTCACACTACATCAATTTAAATTCACACCATCTATGTCTCACGTCCAGCGGAATGAACGACTATATGTGGAGTTCAAAATCAAAAGTCAAATATCCACCAAATAAAACTAGGATTTTTTCGCTGCAAAGTGATATACAGATCGAAAGATCTCAGACATTGTTTAATTTCAATTGACCTAAGCAATCGGTAAAAAATTGAAACGGTATCATGAACTAAAGCATTATAACCGCTTGAAAACATGTTAATGAACGCCATGTATATGTCATATTCAATAGGATAATCCCAAGTTTTATATATGTAGAGTTAAGAATCAGATGTTATTTACTCTTATGATAAAAGAGGGTGTTTCACAAGGCAGAGTGATAAAGTAATCGAAAAATCAGACATTCGTAATAGTTAACGCCACGTCCAGTCCAATAATCAACTGTGTGTTCAGAATCAAAAGTCAAATATCCATCAAACAAAATAGAGATTTTTCTTCACAAGAGTGATATATCCAAAACAATGTTTAATTCCAATTGACCTAAGCAATCGGTAAAAAATTGAAACGGTATCATGAACTACATAAATATATATGTTCGAAAACATATTCGTTATAATGAACTCCATCTATATGTGATACAAACGAATAATCCCAAAACAAATATATGAGGATTTCGGAATCAAATGTCATTTATTCATATCACAAGGCAGAGTTATAAAGTATTTTTTTACCTTTTAAATTATATCGCAACTACATCAATATAAATGTTTGGAAACCTCTTCATTTTAATGACCGTCATCTATATGTCATATCCAAACAAATAATCCCAAGCCAAAAATATGTAAAGTTCAGAATCATATGTCATTTTTTCGTATGATAAAGGAGATTGATAATCACAAGATGGTGTGTATTTTTACCTTTTAAATTATCTCGGAAAATTTTTTGCAGAAAAAAATTGTACTTATTGTTTTGCCCGAGTGTGTATCAATGCTGTGTAGCATAGATTCTGAAAAGAACGCCATATCAACTACAAGTCAGTTCGGAATGTTCCCTGAACACATATGAATGATAATAAAATCGGACTTAACAAAAAAATTGTGGCGGCAGTTTAAAAATTCTTAGTGACATTCCACGCCATCTATATGTCAATATTTTTTAACAGCTAGAGTAGCTTCCTTATCTACGTAGGAATTCAGTAAGCTTTGTGAAAGAGAACTGTTCGAGCACATAGTGAATGAGGACCATAGGATCGACCTAAAACTTTTCAGTAAATCTAGTAGTTGATTAAAACAGCCTTACAGATTTCAAAACCATCTATGTATCAACGCTGTGTAGTATGGATTCTAAGAAGAACGCTATATCACCTACAATTCTGTTCGGAAATTGTTCCGATTTTATACAGATGATACAATACAATACAAGATACAATCGGTAAACAAGTTTTTAATTTTCATAGAAATCTAGGGATACTACAGGAATTTCTTCGTAATATTGGCCGCCATCTACATGACAACATTTTTTAGCAGCTAGAGGGCCTTACCAATCTATCGTAGGAATTCAAAAGGCTTTGCCATAGAGAACTTCACCATGACATAAAGAAATATCCAATTCGGTCGTCTTTGAATCATTGTATAATGAAATATTTGTTTATGCGCCACAGATATGAATAATTCAAAAAAAGATGTCGTTAGTGAAACCGGCCTGGGTGACTAACTATTACTGCATAAAGCCGAATGTAGCAATACAACGTAAATTATATCCTTGAGTTGCCTATGTATGAAACTCAATGTTCGATGGTATATTTTTTTGTGAAACTGGGTTGTTTTAACGGGCGAAGTTGCGTACCTTGTGTTAGAGCTGAACCATATGGCTTAATTTGTGTGAAATATAGTAGATGTGTCGATTGACTTTGAAATATATGTATAAAGAGAGGTGTACTGTAAAATAAAATTGACTTTGATATAATGAATTTTTTCAGACGAAGAGTAGAAAAAAAAAATAAAACACAATATAGCTCTCTTATTAAATATTGGGGTAGGGTTTTAAAATATTGAAAATAAGTACCAAATATTCCATAAACATGGATTAATTAAAGGACAATAGGCCTTCAACAAAAACCCACATAATTAGAAGATTTTTTTTATCCATAAACAACCTTTTTAGACCCTATAGAACCCTATCTAGTTCTATAGAAATGAAACTTGTAAGCATACAGACTTAAGGTGTGGGTAAATAAGCAGCTTGAAGTATTCGCATGACATATTTTGTGATATATCCTAAAGGCATGCCAGAGCCGCACTCGAATCCTGCTGTCGATTCCTCTTACAATTTGACATTAATATGCCTAGCCATGACGCCAAGCTGCTTATGTACCCTAACCTTTACTGACATCGTCTGTAGAGAGAAGACCTTCTTAGACAGAAAACCTACGTTAGATCTTCCTAAGGACTTCCTATCTATTGAGGGTCTATAAGTTTAACTTTATATAAGAAAATACGAACAAAATAATAATAAAATAAAAATAATCTTATACAATAAAAATACGAGGCTTTTTCGGAAATGTAACATTGCACTGCATTTACTGAACAACCCCATCGTAATTGCAATATCTGGCAACACTGCAAGTGTCAGATGTTCTAAAATGCAAAAATGAAACATATGTTGCGCATACAATCCAAAAACCTTGCTGTTCTAAAATATCTGATGCATTGAAGGAGTAAATATTAAAATGTGTTAATTATTTATATTTCTTATATCAACTTCAACATTTGAATTTCTTTTAAAGGGGGAGGTGCACTATCTTTATAATTAGATAACGTTTGTACATGACTTTAAAGTATTGCAAAACTTTTGGAATTCTGCTTTTTATACATACTTTAAAATCATTTTATTCCGTAAAAACCCGCTTTGACTCGCTAGGAGATTCATTAAATTCACAAATTCAATTAATTATATATTTTTCCATTTACGTTCTTAATTCCATTTGCGTTCTAAATTGGAAACAATCGCCTGCAACAGCTGATCGGCAAAAGCTGTGCAATATGGTCAAAGTTGCTCAACAGTTGCAGCGAAGCGTTGCACTTCCGAAAAGGCCCATAAATAAACAATAGATCCTGAAACCAGCTGAGTTTGAAAAATGAGTCGAGAAAAAAGAATAGTCTTTAAAAACCGTATACAAAAATATTTTCTTCTAATTATTTGCATATAAAACTTTGTTTTTGTGAAAAAATCTACTAAAATCTTGCTAAACCACATTACAGGTCACATAAAAAAATATATAAAAACGTTATTTTATAAAAATCTAAAATTCATAACCCTGATTTTCAATATTTCATTAATTTTACGTTTTCGTTTAAGCCCCTAAGAATTTGATTTATTTTTTTTTTTGTTTTGTTTTAATTAAAATAGAAATCATTAATTCTTTAATTTTTCTTCTCTTTCTTCTTTTCAATTTTTTTAAGACTTTTGCAAAATATTTTGTTTTTTTTTTTTTTTTTGTTTTATATAGTATAAGTGCAGTTACTGATTCGATTTGATTTTTTTTTCTTTCAAGTTTACCTAAAAAAATTATAATAATAGTTTATAATAAATATATATATAGGTATGTATATATATTTTGTTTTTGTTAGGTAAGTATGTATATATAATATGTTAATATAGTATATAATCATAATAATAATAATTTTTTTTTGTTGTTGACATCACCTTTTTTAATTCTTACTTAAATTGTTTATTAAATGTGCTGGTTGTTCTTGTTGCAGTTATTAAACCGTTATTTTTTTTTTTGTTTAGACCAAATTACTCTTGTTTTACTTGTTTGATTGTTTACTGCCATTATGACAGGACGCTGCTGCTGAGGACAATGTTGTTGTTGTTGCTGCTGCTGCTGATGTCGATGAGATTCTTTGGCTTTGAAAATCCATTTGCGCTAATGATGATGACGGCGATGGTGTGGACGATGTTTTGTTCGTACACGAATTCGGTTTGTTGAGGAGATTGCCCGAACTACTGCCACTGGCATTGTGACAGGTGGTCATTTCCACATCACTGCCACTGCTGGCGCCCAAATTATCCTGTGACATTTTACTCTCCTTCAATAGATTCGACTTGCTCTCATTCGAACTGAGGGCCATACGTTGCATTTGCCGTATGACGGTGGCGGCCAAATAGGCCTGCTTCCAACGCGATTTGGCGAAATTCTTTTTAAGTTGCTCTGAAACCGTGGCATGGATATTCTTGTTGCCTGCAGCATTACCCGAAATCCAGGGATGGGCCAGGGCCTGTTTGCAGGTGTAACGTTTCTCCACCGAGACACACATCAAGTGGCGTATGAAATCCTTGGCCGAATCACTGATGTCATCCCAATATGGTGAGTCAAATTCGAATTCTCCCTTGAGTATTTGGGCAAAGAGATTGGCATCGTTTTCATCGTAGAACGGCGGATAGCCACACAAAAGGATATAGGAAATGACACCTATACTCCAAATATCCACAGCCTTGCCGTATGGTCTCTGGGCCAAGACCTCGGGCGCCACATAGCCTGGTGTGCCACAGGCCGTGGCCATGATGCCGGAATCTTCCATTTTAGACAGACCAAAGTCGCTGATCATAATTTTACTGTCATCATCGGGGCTGTAGAAGAGCAGATTCTCTGGCTTCAAGTCCCTGTGTACCACACCCTGTTCGTGCATATAGTCGACGGCCTCCAAAATTTGCCTAATCAAATCGGAGGCATCCTTTTCGGTGTAGGAACCCTTCTCCACAATGCGATCGAATAGCTCACCACCTGTTACCAATTCCATGACCAAATAGATTTTTGATTTGTCCTCATAGGTTTCGTACAACTGGACTATGTTGGGATGGGTCAAACGCTCCCCACTGCGGCTATCGGCTGCCGTATCATTGTTGTGATGATTGGCACTGAAACGACGCAAGACGCGTATCTCGTTCTCCAGCGATTCCTCTTTGCCTTTGAGTGCCTTTTTGTCAATGATTTTTACCGCAAAATGTTGACCTGGGTTTTCCTTGCTCTCGGCCAGGCGTACCTCAGAGAAGGCGCCCGTACCCAATAGGCCATGCAGATTGTATTTATCCTCAATGGGTATGGTTTTGTTGAGTTCCTTAATGAATTCCTTCGACTTGGTTTTTTTAGCCGAATCCTTTTTGCCAAACAGCGGCATTTTGTGTGCGGTGTGTATGTGTGTGTGAGAGTGGTGGTGTAGATGTGTAAGTGTTGTTGTTTTCTTCCACTTCCCTTACTTCCTTTTCCCCTTCTCGTCGGCCCAATTCTTATTAATTTTGCTCGGCCACTGTTCACACTTTTTCTCCTTCCACCTCGTTTGCGTTACCAATTATTTCGTTACCGACTCACGCCCTCGACTACCCCCTCCAATGTCAGCCGTGGCAGCAGAGTTTTATAGGAAAAATCCCTTTGAGCTTATTATAAATTCCAGAGGCCTGGCTGCTGCTGCTACAACGCCAGCTTACAAACCCCACATGAAATGCCTATGACGTCGACCGTCGACAGCAAGCAAATGTTCTTCTGATGTGTTGCTGGAGAATTTTCCGTTTTGTGTATGTTTTTTTTTTCTATTTTATGATTTTTTTGTTGCTTTTTTAACACTTTTTTACATTTTCTTCTTCTTGCTGCCTTACGTTCTTTTCTATCGATTTTAATTTACATTCATACCCGTTAATTTTTTTTTATTTTTCCAGATATACCATTATTTGGATTTATTTTTGGAATATTAGATTTTTTCATGCATTGTATTTTGCCAATTCTTATTGCAAATCTTTTGTATATCTTTTTTCTTGTTGTTGTGTTATTTTTTCTTTGCTTTGCACTTACTAAACCAGTTAGAAGCAGTGACTAGCTATTGAATTAACCGTGTTTTGTTTCTTATTAATTTGTGTTTGATTAGAATCCGTTTCCGTTTCTTGTATTTTTTCTAATTGGAATTTTTCTTCCTTTTTTCTAATTTTTTTCTTCTTATTTTTTGGTGGTACGTCACACACGCACAGGAAAATTATATATCTCTCATCCGTCGTACCGTACCGTTTTGATTCGTTCCGTTGTCTCGTTGACCGTGTACTTTGCAGCGCCGAGTAGAGTTAATGAATGTATGTATGTTATTCTCCAGTGAGTGAGCAGAGACACAGTTTGGGCAAATAAAAACAACTTCATGTCAGAGAATGAAATGCTCCCCAACAAAAACACACACACACACACACTTGCATGCATACTCATAACAAACAGAATCCAATCAACCGATATTAATGGTGTTGCCAATCTGGCAAAATTCTCATTTGACAGCAACAATGTTCATAGAAATGAGGGGTATTTCTCATGGTTTGTGTGGGGAAAGAGCAAATGATGAGATATGCATGAGAAAAAACAACACTAGAGAGTGAGAGTAGGAAATTGATTAAATTACATTTTGTGCTAGGGAACAAGGGTTGCATGAGTTTGATAGTTATATTTTTAAATGATGGTCGGGGGGCTTTCACTACATTTCTCCGATGCTCTCATTCTGGACAACCATTGGAGGTAGATAGATTGTTTACAAAAAAAATCTCCATTAAAATGCATCAATATGGAAACGTATTGTTTTTATTATTTCTTGGTATGGCAGCTCTCTTACACATACTCAAATGTCATACACACAGATTCCAATTAGATGAATCAACTCTATTGGAACTTAATTGATACAATTAAGAAGCGTAAAATTCTGTAAATTAAACGACAGTTTTAAAACTTTTAACTGTAAATAAAGACATAAATTAATATTAAAATCGAAATTGAATAACTATAAAAGTTTATTAGGGTAATTTTTTTATCAATATCAAGTATAAAAAAACAATAAGGCGCACATTTCTGAAAATTTAGTATTAGAGAATAATGGAAAATATATACATAATTGTTTTAGTGGCATAAACACTAAGAATCGGTTTGATTGAGATTTGATTTGAGATTTGCAAATCTTTTAATATTGACTTTGTGACAATAGGATAATTTCACATAACAGCCACAACTGGCGTCCAAGCTATCTCGTGACATTTTTCTCATTTAACAATTAATTACATTAAAACGAAAAGCCATACAATTATCACTTTCAGCCAATAGGTAGGAAATTAACACAATATATCTGTCATTATTTGAACGCAATGAAAATATGACTAAAATAATTATATCTTACAATAACATCACACTACAGGTATTTATGGAATAGACTGAATGTCAGCGGTTTTCTTACCAACAAAAACCACAAGTTTCCTCAACATGGATAATAACAACGATTCTTAATGTTTTGATTTTTTTTTTTGTTTTTGGAGTTTTGAACATGACTAACATTGTTTTAAATATGTTAATGTTGGGCGCCAGTCTAAAATGTTTTGTGCTGGTTGTCAGTCTCAACAATATTTGGTTTTTATTTGGCACATGTAAAAAATAAAATAAATAAAATTTCATGGAATTTATTTTACGTTGAACAACCTAGCATTTAACTTAGTAGTTATTTTGGATCAGTTTAATGCTAGGAACACAATTGGAGCGAACGACGAATTTTTTCGCGGCGTATGTTCGTCGTCAAAAATAAAACACATATGTGTATATGGAAGTGCACACAATCACGGCACCGGCGAAAATTTCGTCGGTCGCCGCGAACTCAATTAGCTTTATTTCTATTTCATACGCCGGCGACCGGCGAACAAAACAGTACAAGGTGGCCATACTTGTACGAATTTTATGTGTTTTAGTAAATAAAGTTACTTTTTACTTTAAAATTTGTTATGGTCACTCTACTATCTGTTACTCGTATAAAAAAAACATGATTAATTTGTTTATTTATTTGTGTACTTGCGCCTAAGTGAAGATGGATATCAGTGAATTTATAATAGAGAAGATGGACATAAGTGAAATTATAATAGAGAACGTAAAGAATTATGTGTTCTTGTATAATTCATTGTAGTCAACAAATGAGCAAAAAGTAAACAACTTCATCAGCTGTTTTATAATTTCGTCGGTATTGTGTTCCATACGACGAATTTTCGCGGCTCATTTTGTCGCCGCGTAGGGCGAAATTCGTCGTTCGCTCCAATTGTATTCCTAGCATAAGTTTGTAAGACAAAGATAGTAGTTACTTATTATCAAATTAGTTTCTATTTTAACCATTTATCAAATAGATAATTTATGTTGTTTTTTACTAAGATAATGGCTAAATTATCAGTTGCTTCGAATTAAACTAAAAAGTTGTCAGCACAGTGTGTCAACAGTGGAAAAGGAGTAAATTTTTGCCTACACAAAAGTTAATAACTTTTTCTAAAAGTAAATATTATCTTTTGTTGAATATCGGGACAGTTGATTGGCTAAAGACATAAGTTACTGCCAATGTAGTTTAAACTGAGACTATTTATCAAATATTGTCTACACAAGACGCCACTTATTTGGCAATGTAAATAACTTTGTTGGCAATCTAAATAACCTGAAATAGCTCCTTTTCAAAATACCGAATATCGATCTATATATCAAATACCGAACCGTTGCATGGAAACCGTTGACCAATGTGGACAATGATTTGGCACTGATTATAGAACCAATTATGAAGTACAAATACCAAATTTCACACAAATCTATTAGAAAATGTGGCGTAGTAGCCAATGTTCTGCCACGGGAGCTAGAACACATTACGAACTAAAAATACCAATTTTTAGCAAATCCTTGGAAAAATGTGGGTAAAACTATCAAAATACCGAATATCCGAAGGTATATAGGTCCATAGGAAAAAGTGGACCTATATATACAATGTTTCGCCACCGGAGCTAGAACCCAAAACGAACTACAAATACCAATTCTTTAGACAAATCTGTGGAAAAATGTATCTAAAACCATTAAAGTACCGTATATCGGGAACTATCGTTATATGGGTGCTATAGGTACTATTCAAAAACTTGGACCTATATATACAATGTTCCGCCACCGGATCTAGAACCCATAACGGACGTCAATGACAATTTTTAGACCTATCCGTGTGAAAAATTTTTGCTAAAACCACCAAAATACTAAATATCGGGAGCTACCGTTATATGGGGGATAAACAATATATCTCATTTTGAATACCAACCATCCTAACCACAGTACGAACTACTGTGTCAAATTTTAAAGCTCTACGTGAAATAGTGTGGGCTGTATCGTGATTTCAACAGAGAGACGGGCATCGTTAAATCGACTTCGAATGTTATGCTGATCATGAATATATATTTTATGGAATATTTATATTATATTTAGAGGTGTTACAAACGGGATGACAAATTTAATATACCCTCCTTTCCAAGGTGGAGAGTATAATTATGAATAGTGTGTAAAATGGCAATTTTGACATGGACCCGTTATAACCCATGGTTAATAAAAGTAACAGCGTATACGTAAAACGCATTCCGCCTTCGAGAGCTTTTCTTCCCCAGACTAAACTTAATGAGTAAATTTTTCCGGAAACTTTTTAAAGCCAGCACCATTGCGGAATGATAAGGTTGTTAACCAAATGAACTAAATCACAACATTTGTTTACATTTTGCTTACCTTTCGTACAGTTCACAATAAGTGTTTTGACAAAAAATTTAGATGATCGGCTGCCGTAAATCCTGTATTTTTCGACTGTGCCATGGACAGACCAATATCAGTAGCCCAAACATGTTTCCAAACATATATAATTCTTATCCATCTAAACAATGCTTTAGCAATTACTTCTCCCAATGTGGCAACGCTTTATGTAACAAATTCAACTGCAAATTATTTCCGCAGTCGCAGTTGTCATTCATTTCAGTCAACATTCACGCTGAACGTCGTTGTTGGCCTTTCATTCGCTGAATTTTTTGGACATCTAATAAGCAAAACGGTACGGTGGAATTCAAATAATAAATAACAAAAACATTTAAAAAAATATATCCGAAACAGAGAGGTGCAAAGTCCATTGACAAAAAAAAAACCGACTCATCATCTTGGCCTTCAATGAACTCAACCAGAAGAGAGTGCACAGTGTAACATAACAGAATTCATTCATTGTCAAGGTACAACATGCCTATGTAAAAAAAACTACGAAACGAAAGAAAGGCGCGTTGTGTTTATAAATGATGACGTGAATTTTTTGTTTCAACATTTTTGCATAGTTGTGTAATTTGAGCAAACATTTAATTCATTATTTTAGATAAAGTTTCATCATCAGTTGTTGTGTTTGTTGATAGAAAAGAGAAGAGTGTGCGAAAGAGGGAGGACGAGTGGTTGTGCGTACATAACTAACTAGAACTAAGTGAATATTTGGTAATTAATTAATTCATTTATTTATTTTTTAGAAGAAGTTGATTCTAAAAAAAAACAAAAAACATTTACCATGATTTTGATTTCTTTATCATTAAAAAACCCCTGTCTGGCTGCGAAAAAAAAAAATAGTCTAGTCACATTTTTTTCCATTCGTGTTATCTCAAATCTGAATAGAAGTGATAACAGATAAGGGTTCATGGGAGAGTTCATAGTACCATTGATTTGGATGATTATTTTATCATAATAAAACAATTATGAAGAAGTACCTATTCCTGTCAATTACTAACAGATACGTCATAACTGCAAACCAGCAAAATCCCATGATGGAAAGTACCGAGTAATTCTGAATCACCTTTGAATTATAGAGACTGTGCCGATGAATTGAATACAATAAATATTTTGCATCGGAAAATGGAAGATGTGTACTGAAAAAGATCATTTTTAAACGTGAGCTGTATGAGTTCATGCATATCCGCTTGGAGAAGTTACTGTGTTTTGAATCCTCTACCATATAATGGAGGGTATATTAAATTTGCCATTTAATTTGTATCACCAAAATATTCGCCGGAGATCCTATATAGTGTAGTTAGGCATGATCAGGGTTCAAATTCTATGTCCATTTAGTTATGTCCATTTTTCCATCCGTCCATCTTTTGAAATCACGATAGAGCTCGCACTATTGAATCACATATTCTGCCCTCATCCAAGGCAGTGAAATTAGAAATTGTATTAGAATATATAATTTCAATCAACAACTTTTCCCAACACAGCTTAGTACCCATTATATGGCTATTAGGTAATGTGGGGATTAAAGGTAACGTGATAGCGAACTCTGTCGCAAATCCTTTACTGGCTTAAGAGTATGTCTACCGTGGTATGTGCCGATTTTGCCCCCCACTTTTCAAGCTAACCTGATATTATTCCCAGGATGTTTGATATTGGAAATCGGTCCTCTTTCTATTGGTTGAGATATCTGGCCAATTTCGAACCAAAGCTGCTGTAATTGTTAGTTTCGGGTAATCTGGGGTTATATGCCATACTTCCAAAACATATTAAATATAGGACCATTTTTATACCCTCCTCCATAGTATGGAGGGTATATCAAAATTGTCATTCGCGTATAACACCTCGGAATATACATTTTAGACCCCACATAGTATATATATTCTTGATCAGCATAAAATTCTATGTCGATTTAGCGATGTCCGTCCGTCTGTGGAAATAACTCTAGTTTCCGAACGAAATGACGTAGGTTGATAAAATTTTACTCAAATGTGTATTATGTCTGCAGGACTTCTGGTATGAATGATGGATGATGTAGGTCCATATTTTGGTATAGCCCCATATAATGGTACCTCCCTTTTTTCGTTATTTTGACCATTTTAGCGACATTATTCACCGGAATTGTTAAAAATTGTGTGTTTGAAGTTCGTAATGGATACTACAGCCTATGATAGAAAATTGTCTGTAAAGGTCCACGTCTTCGTATATCCCCCATATATCTGCACCTCCCGATATTCGGCATTTTGATGATTTTAGCGACATTATTCACCGGAATTGTTTCAAATTTGGTTTTTGAAGTTCGTAATGGATACTACAGCCTATGACAGAAAATTGTCTGTGCAGGTCCACGTCTTCGTATAGCCCCTACATAAATGTACCTCTCTATATTCGAAATTTTGATGATGTCTCGCATTTGAATATTGTAATGGTTTAGCACAAAGATCGATCCGGCCGAACTTACTGCTTTTTTACTTGTTTGATATACTATCCATAAAGGGTGCCTCCCTCCAACAACTTCGAATGGACTAATTCCGTTTTGACACAACATTGATCTGAATATAATCAATCTTCATCAGATTCTACTAGGAACTTGTTGCTGGCGCCTGGTCTACTTTAAATTCCCTCATCGCACATGGCACTTGTTCAATTTCTCAAAAATAATTAATGTGTGTCCTGAATTTTATATTCCGAATTTGATTGGATTTGAGGCAACGCTATTTTCTTATTGTAAAATTTCATGGAAACATCTTTCATCTTTCAATCTCTGCATGTTCCAGCTGATATTTTAATAAAAAACCATTATTTTTAACTATTTTCAGTACTCCAAGATGACTGCAGTTAATACGAGGCAAGTATTATTATTTCTTCGTCCCCTAAGGACTCAATCATCAAGAAGAAACAACTCCTCCTACAATTCTGTAACCAATGAACCAAAACAGAGAAATTTTGCCACAAGAGATGTAAGCAGCCATTTTTAAAGAAATAAATCAAACAATTTGATATCAAATTTCCTTCTTTCCCCAATTTCAGTTTGAAGAAATCCAAATTCCCGTACCATGGGGTCACATAGCCGGCAAATGGTATGGACCGAAACATGAAAGACCGCTGGTTGGTTTACATGGTTGGCAAGATAACGCTGGCACCTTTGACACATTGGCCCCCTTGCTGCCGCGGGATATGCCCTTCCTAGCGTTGGATATGCCTGGTCATGGTCTATCTTCTTGGCTACCCGAGGGTATACATTATCATTCAATCGATTATGTGACACTGCTTAATCGCATTATGGAGGAATATAAATGGGATAAAATTTCCCTCATGGGCCATTCAATGTCTTCGATAAACAGTTTTGTCTACACTGCCTTATTCCCGCACAAAGTTGATTTATTAATTGGATTGGATGTTCTAAAACCCCTGACGAGGTCTGCCCAAAAAATTGTCGATATTATTGGTGAACGTATCGAAGGCATAACAAAAGTTGAACGAAGAATACGTAATAAAAGTGAACCACCGGCCTATGAATGGGACCAACTGGTGGAACGTTTACATGTGGGCACCGACAAATCGGTGGATATGGACACATGTAAATTCCTGTTGAAACGTAACATTAAACCCTCCGAACATGAACCACATAAATACTATTTTTCACGTGATGGACGTTTAAAGAACTCGCTGTTTTATGCCTTCTCGCAACAAGTACCTGTTGAAATGGCAAAACGCATAACATGCCCTCACTTGTTTATTAAAGCCCTGCAAGCGCCCTACTATGAACGTAAGGAATATTATGATGAAGTTTTGGCCATTTTAAAACAAAAACCTAATTTCGTTTATTACGAAGTCGAGGGTAGTCATCATGTGCATTTAAACGAACCCGAAAAGGTGGCACATTTTATTAACTCGTTTTTGGAAAAATACAAAAGTTAGGAATACATGTAAAATATTGTATAGCTGATGTTATTTGAGAGTTAGACACAGACAAATTTTTGGACTGTTATTGAGTCTACAGACCAGAAAGGGAAATTAAATTGAAGAAAATGATACACGTTCTTTTGTCTTAAAATCTGGTGTTTTTCATGAATTTGCCTATGTCTAGTTTTTGAAATTGTATACTTTTATAGTAAATTTAGATTATTTAATATTATTGTACATAATTTTATGATTAGTTTGTTGTAAAGTTCAAATCAATTGCCTTGGGTATGTGAAAATCATGTCCAAATTTAACGACAGCTAAGAATCCTTATTACCTCAGGATCACCAAAAACTTTGATCATTAGACAACCGAAATCCATCCATCACTCTAAACGGCTATGAACTTGAAGGATATTAAAACGTTTATAGAAGTTATTACGAAAAAAAATGATTCTGCTAGTAATAAGCCTAACCTACTTTCAGTCTGAAGTAAGTTTACTCGATCTATAATATAACAAAATTAGTACACTTGACAACATCTACAATATAAACAAGATAGAATTACAGTTTGATGATACTTTCTCCTAGTTTTCTACTGCTTCCTAATATACACTTGATATGGTTTTTTGGTCTATCCTCTATAGACCTTCCATTGGTTTTGTTTTACAGGAAAACCCCCCTGTTGTTGGATGTTATGTGACAGAGACTTAGTGGAAGTTCCATAGGGAACTTAATACTAGATATTCAAGACTATTTTGGAGAGTACCGCATAGAGCATTTTATCGGATTAGTGTAGCTTTGGATATTTTCCGTTAATGCTCATTTTTTTTCTCAGCAATATATCGAAGTAGGTTATCATAAAATAACTACCCTGAACAAAATCCGAAATCATTGTAGCTGTAATAGTTTTTTGTTGCAATAAAATAGTGTTTAAGGCTGATTGTTTTTAGTTTTTAATAAAAAAAAAAACAAAATTCTTGTTAATTACAAAATTCCTAATATTGTTTATTTTCATTTCATTTAATTTAAATCCATCCTCTATACATTTTCGTAAACAATGTATGTTAACAGAAACACAATTCCATAATTCACTCTATTCTTGCATAGCTTCTGGCTGATCATTTTTCTTATCCTCAGTATCGGCATCTTCACAGGTTATCAGGCATTCGTCATAAGTCCACTTGGGATAGACACGTTTAAACAGATACATAAACACGGTATCGTATGAACGCAATTGTCCATCGAAATAGCACTTCATGTGACCATGAGTACCCAAAGATTCCTTGATATGACCCAAACGACCACATTTGGTGCGTAGTTTGACGGGTTTGAAATATTCCACATCTTCCTTGTTGAAGAACATGTAACGAATTGTGGCCGATTTACGATTAATACGCATTGGATGACCGCTGAGTACCACACGTTTGAGTATAATACGATCCGGATTACAGGAGAGCAAACAACCGCGCGCCACTAAGGCCAGTGTGGAGTCTGGATTTGTTTTGAAAGCCAATATGGGTGCCGGGGGGAATTGTATGGGCGCATAGAAGGTAGCACAAACCGTTGTGTGGGGTCGGAAATAACGTTCAAACTGTTAAAAAAAAGGAAATTATAAAAGTGAAATATAATTATCTGTTTTTTTTCCTCCTTACCTTATGTTTATCACCATTGGTGTGCTGACTGAATATGGGATTAACCACAAATCTGCGATAACCACATTGTATTATAAGTCTTTCTTTAGATTTAATGGGTACCTCCGAATCGGGTATTCTCTTGAGTACCGCATTCACCACCGACATTTGATGTTCATGTGGCAGAAGACCATAAACAATAACATTGTCCACTAATTGGGCCGATTTGTAGGCTTTCCATTTGGTAGCAGGAACATTGGCAACATAAATGGTAATATACCAACCAGGCTGCAAAAAAAAAAAAAAAAAAAAAAAAAAAAAAAAAAAACAGATAATTAAAAAACATGATCTTTGATTGGAATTAAAAATATTCTTACCACAGCACCATCAATTTCCTTGGCTTCGTTTATGATACGTCTCTTGGTACGCTCAAAGTTTTGGAATTGATAGATGCGAGCATAGTCATAGGGCAGATTTTCTTTGGGATCCCAGGGTGAGGTTCTAAAAACAGAAATATTCCATAATCATTTTAAGATGTAACTCAAAAATATTGATAATTAATCCCCCATGGAGTGACGATAGTCCGTCAAAATTAATTGATAAAATTGATGTTTACGCTTAAAGTTTAGATTGTCTTTTAAAAATGTTGATAAAAATCGAAAAAAAATTGTTGAAAAATTCGTTTGGAACTCAGATTGTCCCCAAAAATTTTTGTCAAAAAATCCACTCTCATATCAGGTTCAATAAAAAATATCCCCACCGGAGATCAGATTAGTCCCTTGAAAATTGTCAAGAAATTCCTCCAAAAAATCAAATCAAAAATACCCGCCGTCATCAAATATTGTCAAAAATACACACTTGAAGCACAGATAGTACCTCGAAAAATATTGCTTAAAAATCCATGCTTGAAGCTCTAATGACTTTTATAGTTCAAAAATGCATGCTTGGGACTCAGATTGTCCCTCCAAGATACTATTTAAAGATCCCCATTTGAAGCATGGTAGTCCCTCATAACACAAATAGTCGCCCCATTAAAACTAACCTAAAAGATTCCAATCCACGGAATTTCTGGAATCTTGTACGTGCCGGAATATCCAAGGGTGTATCAATTTCATCGGGCCACATCTCATCAATGCGCGCCTCCTTGATCTTTTTCATTGTTTCCCGTTCTTCATGGAAATCCATTTGTTGGTCATATTTTTCATCATTAATGGCAGCATCCGAGACTGAAGCAGTATCCACATATTCTTCGGTATCAGATTCGGGTTCTTCACATTCGCCATCAAAAGATTTATTTTCGCAGGACATGAATTCATCTTCATCGTTATCATCGTCATCACCATCCATATCATCATCATCGTCCTCCTCATCATCCTCATCTTCTACTTCTTCAACATCTGGAATCCAGGCAGCTTGATAGGCACTATAACCTTTAGGCACCCGCTTGATTAGCTTCATTTTTTTCGTCTCCTTTTGCGACTCGGCAATTTCTTCTTCTGTTGGCCATGTCTGTTCAGCATCCATTGGATCGGGAATATTTTCCGATTGTAAGGAAGTTTGTTTATTTGGATCGGCTTTGGCCACTAAACGTATATCGGAGGTATCCTGGTTGCTACGATATTTATCCAAACGGTAAGGGTCTTGTGGTGCATGAATTTCAGACATTTGAAAATCACCCAAACCGGTGATGTGCACCAATCCATTAACATCGAGTGGGGTACCGCGCAAGAAACCTGTTACTTTGAGAGTACCCTCATCTTCGGCTGGATTAGGATTGGGTATAAATTCAACATGATCACCAAAGAGATGTGGACGATTGTTGCGGTTGTAGATGAGGTTTTTCTTTTGACCACCAATGCGACGCATTACATTGAGACCTGGAAGAAGGAATATAAATGAATTAATAAAAATTTGGTCAGTGGCGTCCTAGGTTCTCAAAATTTGGTCAGACATGACTTCGAAAATTTTCCTTAACACGACTTGAATACATCGGCACACGGCTTAAAAATTTATGTTTGTTGCTGTTATAGCTCCTTTGAAGAAGATTCTTAACATTTTCTAGCATTTTTCTTTTGGCAAAAGTTCTTAACAATATTCGAGTTTTTTGTTCTTCTGTTCCCTTGAAAAATAATCTTATACTTTTTTAGCTCAACTAGACCATTAAAAATATTCTTAAAAATAAAAGCTATCGAAGCCGGATGCATACCCTCAAAATATATGTTTAAAGAATCCACGACTGTAGTTCTGCTGTACCCTCAAAATATATTCGTAAGTTTGAGAAACATTTGTTACTGCTTTCTTCTATTTCCATAGGTTTTAAAATACGTTTGGCAGCAAGAACAGACTAGTTTTTGAATGCGCCTCTTGTGTGACCTTATTAAATAGGGCTTGTTTATTTCCAATTACCTTCCATATTCGTATCCAATTGCATAATCTTCTCTTTGGGCAACAATTTCGAAATGAATTTCTGCACAGCCGCCTTGGCCGAGCTGCGACGTTTTGGATTTATAGATTCCAAGTCCATAAGTGCCACAACAGGTGTGGGTATACTTTGTGCCGAGATCATATTGAAGATACGATGTCCCCATTTATCGAAAACATCATCTTCGCCCATGGCAGCTGATGTTAACATCAAAGTAGTATCACATACTTTCAGATAGTCCAAGACCGTCAATTCATTGCCACGACCCACTGGCGGTATAATGAAGGCAAAACGTTGCTTGAAACGTGGTAAATTCATGTAGGTAACACCCGAGGGGGTACGTTCTACAATAGCCTCTTCATCACAGCTTTCCAAAATTGCCAAGGCGGAGCGGGCATCGATTTGTTGATGCATCGGAAGTATGCATACCAAAAATGGTGCAGTATTTTGGCCACCCAATTGACGTTTCAGAGCCAAGGCTTCCTCACGCTTGTTTTTGCGGAGCTGTGAGAGAAAAAAATATGGATTAATATATCTTTTACAAATAACTAAAGAAAATAACTTACTTGACTAATCTGATTACGCCTTTGTTCCTTGCGTTGAATTTGCTTGTGCTTGTGAGAAATGGCCGTATTGGATACCTTGCCTGAAAATTAAGAAATTTTTCATTAAAACATTTGGCTCCTGGTTCTCAAATATCCACCTACCTTTGAGAGCATTGTCGATGGCACCCTTCGACCGATGTCTGCCCGTCTTATGTGCCTTATTGGCTTGTTTTAACGGCCCAGGCCGATGAAAAACATGATCCGCCATAATTTCCTTTGACTCTCAAAACAATTTAACAAATTTTTACAGTATTTTCTTGAATTTTATTGGGAATTTCGTGTTAGAATTATGGAAGCACATGTGTTTTCGTTTTCACAACAAATAAAAAGAACAAGCATTTGACATGTTGCCTAGTTGTTGTTCTTGCATTAGATTGGATGTCAAAAAAGAAAACAATGCTAACACAGGGTGATTCAAAAAAAAAAATAATTAATTGTAGTTGCGTAGCGATAGTGGTCCTATCGAAAAATCGATGGGTTTTTGCTTGGGTGGCGAGCGATGGGCCTTTAAAGGAATTTTAAAGGTATATGCCATGGTACAATGAATTCAAGGTAGGGCAGAACTACCATATGATTTAATTTTTTTTATTTTTCTGGCTTAATATGTCAACTTCATTTGCTTATATGTGTGTCTTCTTTTCAATAATAAAAAATTGTTCAGGAAATATTCAAATTTGGGTGTTTTCAAAATGCTTATTGCATCGTATACCTCGACAAAATTTACAGTTTTTGTCGCGAAGTAAACCATAAGAGATATATAGAACATGATTTTGAAAAGAAATTTTGACCTTTCATTCATTTTTCGCGGTTTGAAATTATTTATTCAAAATAAATGCAACAAGTTGTTTTATTTTTTATTGTTTTGATACTAATTCTGACATTACAAGCCAAACAGGTAGACCTCTATACTTGCAATTTTTTCAAAGTTGACCTACCTTCTCTTCATTGTACCATGGTATATGCTTTAGCAGAAACTCCGCTATATGGAACCAGGGATGAAATGAGGTTAAATATTCTGCAAGAACTTGAATTTTAAATTACAGCTAATGTAGTTGAGAAATGCATATGTAATGTTCTAAATATACAAAATCAAAAGGGACTACCACGGTATAATGAATACAAAGTAGAATCAGCTTAAACAAGTTGTGAGATTGTCAGAATTTCTGTAGATACGTATGAAGCAAGTTGATTATTTTTTATTTATTTATTTTTTTGACTAAATAGAAGAAAAACTGGGTATTTTTAAAACTTACATGGTTGCAGCTTTTAATTTTTTTTAAATAACACTTGAAATTATATATGCATGGTACAATGAAATAAAGGTAGCCTCATTTCAAATTGGCATTTCCAGCTCTGCATTTTCTGTAATTTACCTTGTCAAATTTCAATGCAGTTCCCATCTCTGATTTTGTGTGTATACAAAGGATTTAAGAATATAGATTTTGACAATGAAATGTTGTCAAATGTATAAATTTGAAAAAAATTGTAAACATATGATTACATGACTTTACCTTCTTAGTTCTACCATGATTATATGACTTAAAAATTGAAAAACATTTTCGACATTACTTTTAAAATTTTGAAAATTGTGCTCATTATCTTGATTTTAATTGGCCGATGGAAAGACATCGAACATAGAATACATAGTTTGCTTTGTCCCAGATAATTATACCCTCAATGTCCCATAAAAGAACAAACCATGGCACATTTGTTAGGTACTGGATTTATCGCAGCTGATCATCTAGAGGAGTTGTCAAAAACCTTATTGCGTTTAAAAATTATACCAAAGGTAGGAAAAACAAGTAAAAAAGCTGTAAGTTCGGCCGGGCCGAACTTTTAATACCCTCCACCATTTGGTACAAATTTGGCAATTTCCAAAAAATAAAATCCGTTAAAAATTTCGTTAAAATCTTTAAAATACCGAATGCTTATACAACGACGTGGGCCTGCATAGGCAACTTTTGTCATAAGTTATTACAATATTTAAATGCGAAACTTGAAGAAAAATCTGTTTATAATGTAGTTAAAATCATCAAATTACCGAATATGGGCGGTACTGTTATATGGGGGCTACACGAAGACGTGGACTTGCACAGACAATTTTCTGGCATGGGCTGAAGTATCCATTACGAACTTCACATGCGAAATTTGAAGCAATCCCGGTAAATAATGTCGCTAAAATCATCAAAATACCGAATATTGGGGGTACGGTATATGGGGGCTATATGACCCATTTTCTGTTTTATGCTGCAGTATCTATTACGAACTTCAAATACCAAATTTGGAACGATTCCGCTAAATAATGTCGCTAAAATCATCAAAATACCGAATATCGGGGGTAACGTTATATGGGGGCTATATGAAGATGTAGACCTACATGGCTCATTTTTTGACTAGGTATGTAGTATCCATTACGAACTTCAAATACCAAATTTAAAACGATTTCGGTAAACAATGCCCCTAAAATCATCAAAATACCGAATATCGGGGGTACCATTATATGGGGGCTACACGAAGACGTAGACCTGCACAGATAATTTTCTGTTGTAGGCTGTAGTATCCATTACGAACTTCAAATACCAAATTTTAAACAATTCCGGTGAATAATGTCGCTAAAATCATCAAAATACCGAATATCGGGAGGTACCGTTATATGGTGGCTATATAATAACTTGGACCTATATGGCCCATTTATGATTAGTGATTACAACAGACAGACAGACAGACAGACGGACAGACAGACACACAGACAGACAGACGGACATGGCTAAATCGTCTTAGAATTTTACGCTGATCAAGGATATATATACTTTGTTGGGTCTGACATGAGTATTTCGAGGAGTTACAAACGGAATGACAAAATTAATATACCCTCCATAGTATGGTGGAGGGTATAAAAACAATAACCAGCATGAGAAGCTCAAAAGTCGGGTGGGCCGACTATATAATACCATATACCAATATACGTAACAAAAACGTTTAGAATGGGAATTTATTTGAAGTACTTGTTTCTAGAATGAATTCAGTCGGAATTGCCAAAATTCAGTTCATTCGGGCTGATATTAGCCATTTGGCGCACAAAAAAAACTGGGTTAAAGATATATATGGTAGATATATCAGAATCTGATCCGATCTTGAAATAGTGTATCTTATATCTGTTACAAAAGATCATTGATGAGGAGCGCATATTAAATTTAAATTTTATCGTTTCATCGGCCTATTATTGTGCCACGGAACAAGCGCTTGTCTATAACAGGGCGATTCAAATATTGTTGATTTCATGTTGGTAGGGTATGTTCAGTGGGAGATAAATAGTTTATAGGAGTAATATTGTAAGTGCAAATATCTTTTTATAATATTAAATAAAAAAAAAAACAGTAAATTATGATATTATACTATTGAAGATTAGAAAAGTTGCTGCGTTTAAAAGTGCGAAAAATTCAGCATTAAAGTTATGATAACTCAATAATAATACCTATTAATAATGATATTTTTAAAGTAATTCACGGTTATACAATTTTATGAAATACTTCGATTATAGATATTATATATTTCGATTATATATATTAAAGATTATATAAATATTTACGATTATAAATTATTTAAAAATAAAAATTAAAAAAAAAACATTATATTTCTAAGCAATTCACCAGTATAGCTACATTCTTAAAAAATCCAAGTCCAGAAACAAAAAAAAAAAAAATCTCAACTATTTGTCACATATTTAGCAGACTTTTATCTAATTAGAGAACTCATAAAATTGTATTATTTCGAGTTTTTGTTCGTTATTATTTGTTGTTTCCTACGTGAGTTGAGTTATTTTTCTTTTATTTTTGCAATCAGTTGCGTTTGTGTCGTAAGTCTTTTGTTTGTGTCTGACAATCCAAATTGCCGGAGCTAATATGATTAACGCTCTTCTTTGCTAATACCTATTTCCTTACACACAAAAATGTCTCTAAGTACACACGTACATCAGTTATGCTATGCGGCATAAGAACTTATGTAAATTATTAGCAATTGGCTGGCTAGAATATAGACATACTGTGTGTAAGTGTATGTTGAAAACAGGAAACAACACAAAAAAAAAAACAAGTCATTATTTTAAATTAACACAACAAATACAGAAATTGCAAGAGATTTGGTAATGAGGTGGTAATTTTTTATTTTTTGACATATGTGAGGCAGTATTCGAGGTGTGAATTTTCTACAATGACTTTGAGCTGTTTAAGCTCAAAGCGTGGATTTTTGAACCATATTTTTGAGGAAGTATTTGAGTATCAATCTTATAGTTTTTGACAACATATTCTAAGGAACAATCTATGTTTTCCGAGGGGATTCCTAAACAATATTTTTAAGAGAATATTTGAGATCCAAAGAATTGTATTATTTTAACTATATTTTTGAGTGACTATCTTAGCTCTTAAAATGTTTTTGAGGGCTATATATGTTCACCCTTATCGCATTAGATCCAAGCGAGAATTTTTTAATATTTTTTTGGGGGCTAAATAAACTCTAGGTGTGGATTTTTTTAAATATTTTTGACAGATTTATTTAACTTCAAACACGTAACTCATCGAAATAATAAGTTTAGTCATAACAAAGTATATACAGGGTGAGATAAAAAACTGCAACAAAGTCAAAAGTCATAATTTTTAATTCTATTTTAAATTTTATTGAATGAAAGCAAAAAATGTCGGAAATAGCATGAAATTTTAGAATAAAGTTAGATTTGTTCGAATTGGTTACCAACCTAGCTTTCCAAAATATTCCAGACACAATAGTCCAACGGATTGTCATCCGGAGATTTTGGAGGCCATTGTGCGCTGGAAATGAAGCGAGGAAACTCATTTTGTTACCATTCTTGGCTGGCGCATGCTGAGTCCTGTTGGAATGTCCAAGGCCTGTGGCAAAAATGTTTGCGTACCCAAGGCTTTAATTCACCCTCCAGAATATTTTCGCGATAATATTCGGCATTTATTCTGATGCCAGGGTCGATTAATACGAGCGGAGAGCGACCATCGGCGGCCCACACCATCACCATGGCCGGCCCTTGAGTTCTGGTGGCAATGGCTTTACCCCGAGCTCATTTTTCAATATTTGCCGAATAGAATATTGCGCTTCTTTACTTATCGAACCATTTCTGCTGATGTTGCTGTTTTCTTCCGTCGACTTCCTTGACGTCGGGCTTCGCTACCAGTATCACGGTAATGAGCGATGGTACGAGACACAAAAGATTTATTCACATTTAAATGCTGGAGTGCTCTAACGATAGCCAGATGTGGTTTTCCAGCCAAATATAAAGAAATCACACTATCCCGCTTGAATTCCATCACGAATA